TGTCCTGTTCCATTGATCCATATTTCTGTTTTTGTGCCAGTACCATGTTGTCTTGATTACTGTAGCTTTGTAGTATGGTCTGAAGTCAGGGAGTCTGATTCCTCCAGCTCCATTTTTTTCCCTCAAGACCGCTTTGGCTATTTGGGGTCTTTTGTGTCCCCATACAAATTTTAAGATTTTTTTGTTCTAGTTCTATAAAAACTGCTGTTGCTATTTTGATAGGGATTGCATTGAATCTGTAGATTTCTTTGGGTAGTATAGTCACTTTCACAATATTGATTCTTCCAATCTGAGAACATGGTATATCTCTCCATCTGTTTGTGTCATCTTTTTTTTGTGTGTGTGTGGTATGCGGGCCTCTCACTGCTGTGACCTCTCCCATTGCGGAGCACAGGCTCTGGACGTGCAGGTTCAGCAGTCATGGCTCACGGGCCCAGCCGCTCCGCGGCATGTGGGATCTTCCCGGACCGGAGCATGAACCCGTGTCCCCTGCATTGGCAGGCGGACTGTCAGCCACTGCGCCACCAGGGAAGCCCTATTTATGTCATCTTTAATTTCTTTATCAGTGTCTTATAGTTTTCTGCATACAGGTCTTTTGTCTCCCTAGGTAGGTTTATTCCTAGGTATTTTATTCTTTTTGTTGCAATGGTAAATGGGAGTGTTTCCTTAATTTCTCTCTCAGATTTTTCATCATTAGTGTACAGGAATGCAACAGATTTCTGTGCATTAATTTTGTATCCTGCAACTTTACCAAATTCATTGATTAACTCTAGTACTTTTCTGGTGGCATCTTTAGGATTCTCTATGTATAGTATGTCATCTGCAGACAGTGACAGTTTTACTTCTTCTTTTTCAATTTGGATTCCTTTTATTTCTTTTTCTTCTCTGACTGTCATGTCTAGGACTTCCAAAACTATGTTGAATAATAGTGGTGAGAGTGGACATCCTTGTCTTGTTCCTGATGTTAGAGGAAATGCTTTCAGTTTTTCACCATTGAGAATGATGTTTGCTGTGGGTTTGTCATATATGGCCTTCATTATGTTGAGGTAGGTGCTCTCTGTGGCCACTTTCTGGAGGTTTTTATCATAAATGGGTGTTGAATTTTGTCAGAAGCTTTTTCTGCATCTATTGAGATGATCCTATGGCTTTTGTTCTTCAATTTGTTGATGTGGTGTGTCACATCGATTGCTTTACAGATATTGAAGAATCCAATAAATTCATTCTTAAAAAAGAGAGAGAGGTAAACAAGCCCTTTCACGGTAGGTGGTGCCATGACTTGTTTCATTAAGTCTTTTGTCTTAGTTAAGGATTTCCTGGTTGCCAGGAAAAGAGCCTATTGTAGCTAGTTCAAGTGAAAATTCAGGTTTAAAGGAAGCATCCAAGGCATTCTAAAGTAAGCTAAATGTGGAAGAATTAAAGGGACTTGTAGAATGAGAACAATATCAGAAAGCCCCGCCACCACCACTACCCCCACTTCCTTGTGTTCTCTGATCTCTACCTTCACTTCATGTGTCTCCTATGTACACTTCTTGACATGCTGGTTTCCACTATTGCTCATGGCCCAGCGTGTGGCTGTCCCATAACCATAGTCCCATTCAGCTCCATGTCCATCAGCATTAAGCAACAGGGGCTCTGTGTCCCGGTAGAGAGGAACCAATTGGTCACACTTGAGTCAGGTGGCTACTCCTAGACCAATCATCAATTGTTAGTAGGCAGGAAGGAGGGATCATCTAGTACAAACATGCATCCTTCAGCACCTCTTTAGCAAGGGTTCAAAGGGTTTGTTTAGCAGGAAAGGAAGATTCTTTGGTAAAGGAGTATGGGTGAATAGAAATGCTGGCATCTCTTGTATACCTTTAAGTATCAGTATTATAAATTTGTCTGAATGGCTCATGATGCTCTCAGAGAAGCACTTTATCCTTAGGATGTCCAAACATGAGCTCTAGGGACTAGGGCCTTTCAGAACTTCTTGTGCTTCTGTAATTCTACTTCAGTGCCATGAGGCCCTGAAAAGCCTGACCAGTGGCCATAGGTGCTCTGGAGAGGGCTCAAGCTTCCCATCTGCAGGAGCATGTTCTACTGGAGTTATCAGTGGTGCCTTAGATCCTGTCAATGATCTTGGCCATCTCTGATAATATAGAAGATCCAATCAGCAAGTGCTAACCACATAAACAGCCCATTTTCTTCTTCCCTGTATTCATAGAGAAGGTATGTGTACATGGCGTAGTGAGGGTTATGGTTAGGTAAGGGCTAGAGAAAAGGGACATATGGCTGTTTTGTAAAAGAAATTAAAATTGACTGAATCATAGACTGGAAAGTCCCTTAGCGATCATCTAGCCCTGTGGTCATCAAACTGTGTCTCTTGGACCTCTAGGGTTCCTCAAGAACCAAAGAAGGAGGTAAGACAGGAACAACTGGCAGGCAGATTTCCACCCACCACCACCACCTGGCCCACCAGCATTTTTCCAGCAACCAGAGAAATTCTGCTCTTCTTAATATTCTATGCTGGGTTGCTGTGTGTTATCTCACTCTTTTATAGGTGAGTAAACTGCTGAGAGGGGAATGACTTGCTCAGGGTCCCACAGCTAGCTGAGCTGAGCTGGCTCCAGCTGTGCTGATTCCCAGAGCCCTCTCTCTGTTGGCACAGGTCATATTGAGACAAGAAAGAAAGCAATGATTTTTGACATGGAGAAGTATCATGATAGCTAACCATCTGTGTTTTCCTCCTGCAGCGAAGTGTGAGGCATTCACTACTGACACGATTCCATTGCCCGATAGCCCAGGTATACAGCTGTGCTTGGCAGTGTTCAAGTGGCAGGACAGTGATGAAGTGGTAGCTTTAGGGCTCAAGCCCCCTGAAGGGCCAAACTCACTCCTTAAGTGTCTGTCTATTTTGCAATTAGTTAATTCATAAAGGGACCCTGTAACAGTTAGGGTAATTTAATTGCAATCAACGGAGCCCTACTCTAACTAACCTGAAAGAGAGATTGAGAGAGAATATTGAGGAGTCCTCCAAACTGACAGTGTCAAGACACCATGGCTGGAATGAATGAAGGTCAACCAATTTTCCTGAGACTGCAGGGTCATGGGGGAGGGAAACAGGTGGATGAACTCAGTTCACATGACCACCTCCTTAGTGTCCACTGAGGTTCCTTTGTACAACTGCTGGTTCCAGGCTCTCCAGGTCACCGTATTTACTGCTTCCCTTGAGCCAAGTCTTGGGTGGCATGGTTCAAGCAGTCACAGGCTACCTAGCCCACAAGTGGCCCTTGCTCCTTCTCCCCTCTCCCAATCTGACCTGGCTTTTGTCATGCTTCTACCACTCCAAGAATCATAACACCAAACTCTTGTCATACCCCTAAGTAGAGTTTCCATGCTCTCTCAGTATCTTGCAGCCTGGTGTTATGATTCCTTTGACTCACAAATACAGTTTCTTACTGTGCCCTCTCTTTTGGGAATCTGGGAATAGTTTCTTTGGGACCAGGATAGAGGGCAAAAAAGTGTAGCATGCTGAATTATCCCCCTTCTTTGACAGACCATCTAAGAACTGGACTCAAACTTAGAGTTGGTTCAAGAGTTAAGGGGCAACCTTTGTTCCCCATCTTGGTTTATGAATTTCAGCCTAGAGCAAACAGTCAACTCCAACATATTTCCTCACTGGCTCTCCTAGAAGATCTATGGGGACTTCAGACAGACTGAATCCCTACATCAGAGTCCTGGCAGCAGACACAAATTAGGTCCACCCCATGGACTTTGCTGCAAAAACATTTAAACACATAACCTCCAAAGTCACTTCTAGCTCTAAGTGTTCATGATTCTCTGATGAAAACAAAGGGAATTTATTTCTGAGAAGAGGGTGATAAACATCTTACTCAAGGAACCATAATTCATTCTGCTGGATTCTGGAGACTTCCTGGCTGATCATTGAGAATACTACCATAATGCTGAATTTCTGCCATTTGCCTGGGAGTTTATGACGTCAGACAGCAGAGTCTGACTTGACCCTTGGAGGAAAAATGTTATCTAAGCTACCAGGCGACAGACCCTGTCTACCCTCGGAACCAAACACATCACTCTCTGGTTGACTCAGGCCAACTGACCAGCGGCTGAGGGGTTGCTGATGGTTGATTGAACAGACCATTTGCAACAGACAGAAAACATGGTCTGTGCCATCTGCTCAGCAAGCAACCTTCATTGTGGCCAAAAGCCAAGGATAAATTCAAATGAAAAAATCAATTCAATTATGCATATAACTAAGCTATGTTTCACGGTGAGGAAACTAAAAAAAAATTGGTTGTCCCATGTAACTGAAGAATATTTTCCCAACCCCCAAATGGCATGCTATTATGTTTTGAGTTGTTCCTTCAAAATGGGAATGGTTGTTATCAACCATTTGCACTGATCCTTCTAAAAAAAAAAAAAAAAAGTGTTAGCCATACAATATGTGACCGCAACACACAGAGGAGCTAGAAATGTTCAGATGTACCATCCTTCAATCCAAAACACTATTTGAGGTGGGCTTGCCATCTTGGGTAGAGGAGGGATTCCCAGGTATGTTCCTGAAGTAGAAAAAGGCAGACCCTTTGGCACTTAGTCAACTGTATCATCAGCTCAGTTACACAACTCACTGTTGTGACAGTTGCTGGGATCTTGAAATCAATTTCCTTTGGCTTGTTTTGAGTAACTCTGCACACCTGGAGTGTTTGGCTTGAGGTATTTCTGAGAAGGGAATGAAAGTTGGAAATAGAAATGGTACATTTCAGTTGACCTCTCATTAGAAGAGGCAGGGACCAAACTTAGCCCAGCAGACACTGAGAATGCTAAGATGAGACTCATGACTCTCAGAACAGGAAGAGAGACTGGGAGAGCAAGCAGTCCAAAGCAAAAACTGATGATAAAAAGAGTAATAGTAAGAATAATAATAGTAAAACTTATGGATTGTAGAGATTTTATTCAGATGCCTAGCCAGCATCCATATCTCCCTTCTTCTTTCCCAACAGAACTTCAGTTTTCTTTGGACATCCAACCTCCCTCCGTGTAGCCTCAGGTGAAGCTGACTGTACCCCTCAGAGCCAGGGTAAGTTCCATTGGTTAAATGTGTCTTACAAGTAATTGGTCAGAACAGGCATGTGACCCAATTCTGGGCAATAAGATATACGCAGAAGTTTGCTGGTGGGATTTAAAAAAATAATAATAAAGTTACTTTGCTTCAAATAGAGAGTCATAGGAGAGACATCCTTTTTCTTCCCCAGGACATTGACATATGTAGATGCGGTGCCTGGAAGTAAGGCACCCATCCTGATACCAGCCTAAGAGTGGAGCTAACACTCAGGATCACAAATAGAAATATGGAAAGAGCCAGGTTCTTGAGGAAGTCACTGAGGAACTAATTTAACTAACCCTGAAGACATCCTCTCCCTAAACTTTCAGTCACATGAGCCATTACACTTCCTTTTTGAAGCCACTCTGAGATGGAGTTTCAATTACTTGTAGCCAAAAACATCCCAAGTTAGAGAATGCTTACCATGTGCCAGCCACTGTGCTTGGTACCCTATAAGCTAAAGGGAAATGATTTTCCCTTATTTGCCTTGTGACAACCCTGTGAGATGAATATCATTGTTATCTGATTCTACAGTTGAGGAAATTAAGTCTTACAGATATTAAATAATTTGTCAGAATCAGTTGGTAAGTGGTGGAGACTAGATTCAATATTTAAGCACTTTGAGTCCAGGACCTAAAATTTTAGCCACCATGCGCTGTAACAGAAAAGGAAAAGATTTGTTCCAAAAACACCATAAGTCAGTATCATCCAAGGGTTGAAACCAAGGTCCAGTGCTCTTTCAATGCCCCTAAGGACGGTGATGATTTCAGAGATCAGGAGCCAGTGTGGTCTCTCCTTTAACCAAGGCACCGCTTCTCACAAGACCCATACTCTGGCTTGAATGACTAGCCTTTCTCTTTAATCATTAGCCATATTACCTGGTTCTCTATGCCCTTCCACCTCCTTTTTCATTTCTGCCTTTTCAGCTCATTAATTGACTTTTTGCAGCCATTGAAGAGAGACATGATTATCCTGGAAACCCCTGCCGTGACAGGGGTTACATCATTGCCAGTGGGAAGTTCTCACCACCAGGGAAATTAGGCTGTCTGCTGGGGACTTGGAGGATGAGTTGGCAGGTTTCCCATGCTAATTGGTTTCAGTCTTGATTCATTGGGTCTCCCAAGCCAGGTGACAGCTCAATAGTGGCCAGAAGTCCCAGACATGGAAAGAAGGCAGACACCTGAAGCTGCTTTAAGCCGAGGATGGGTCACCAGGAGCCCCCCCATAGGGACCTCACAGGCCTTTGATTGTCCATGAGTGAAAAGATATACTGACAATGGCATGACAGACTGATATCATCATGCTAATAGGGCAAAGAGAAATGAGGAGCCCACCCTTGCACTGTGGGGTTCTAGAAGTGGGAAAGCAGTAGGATGTCGTGGTTTTGAGCATGGTCTCGTAATTAAGCCCATATGGATTTGACTCCCAGTTCAGTTACTTGTTGACTAGTGAATGCAAAAAAGTGAGTAATGGAACATCCCTGAACCTCAATTTCCTCTTCTGTAAAAAATAAGGGTAGGATGATTGTGGGGATTAGACATGATGAGCATTACTCTGGAACATAGTAAATGCTTAGCGCCTTTGAAGGTAATGATACTGGCTGCAATAATGATGACAATAATATGACAAATTGAGTGGATAGAGAACATGTGTTAATTCTCATGGTCAAAATTTCTTCTTAATAACAACTCCAGAGAGGTCCCATACTTGAGACTCTCTGCTTCTGTTTTGCCCCATGCTCCCATGTTTCTTCCCTCCTTAAGGAAAGCACAATTTGGTGCACTTGAACTTTACCCAAAAAACTGGATCTTCTGTGACTGACTACAAAGATGATTTCCTATTGTATCAAGCTGTGTTAATGGTGAACACCCACCTCAACTCAGTAGAGCCAATTAGTCAGGCTACATACAGAATTCGAAAAGGTGAACCAACACAGATATGGATACTTTCAAGAGAAAATGTTGGTTACAGGGTAACTAAGCCTCAGTATTCAAAGCTATTATAATGATCTTATCAGGTTCATGGTGTGAAGACTTGGACTATGCCTTATTCAAATATCTCCACAGGATTTCATTTTATATGCCATTGAATATGGTGTAGTTATCCAGTTGGCCAAAATATACATGTCTTATCTGACAAGGTAGCAAGGAAGATTTGCACCCAGGTTTCTAAGTCTATTGGTTGAAGTAAGGTATGTGCAGACTATCATTTGAGCAATTTTTTTGGCATCATATTTAATTGGATCCCCTCCTTTTGTGCCTGTATGTGTAAAACTGAAATACATAGAAGAAATGATCTAGTGCAGAGTTGTAACTGTGCTCCATGGATCCCTGGTAGAATGATGAAGGTACTGCCAAGGGTTTGAGGCTAGGGGAAGACTGGAGTTTATGAAACTCTAGAATGCCCACCCATGACTTCAACCAGATCTTCTATTTCTGGTTTCCCTGCTGGGTTTCCATGTGATGTTACTCAAAAAATTTTTTTAAAGTTTGGACATCACCCTCCTGATTGAACCCACTCATTTTTCAGGAGAGGAAACTACAGCCCAGAAAAGTCATCTGACTTCCAAGGTTGCACAACTAGCTACTAATGGAATCTGGATTAGAATTCCAGACTCAGAGATCAGCACAGTTGCCTAAGAAAAGCTACTGAAGCATTCTCTTGCAAACATACACTTTTAATCTTCATGACTGTCACCGTGAACATCAACAAACACTACTGTCATATACCTCCCTGTGAGTGTGTGATACTATATTTGGCACTTTAGGGCTTAGAGGGGCAGAGTGCAGGGGTAATATCAGGAAGGCTTCTGGAGAATGAATGCCTGGACAAAGTTTTGAATGCTACATATGAGTTTAGCAGGTGGAAAAAGGAAGAAACGGGAGTATTCCAAGCATTAAACCTCTTTGAAATTGAGAACGGTGTTATAAATATAAGTCCTATAGTTCTCACCAAATTACCAAGCGTAGCAGTCAGAGCCCAGTCAGAAAACAGCAAGCAGATTAATATTTCAAATCAGAGGATTTAATCCAGCAAAACACTTACAAAGTGTTGGAAATGCTAAAAGAACAAAAAGGAAAAGTTGCTCAAGCCGGAGACTAGGAAAAAGCAGAAAGCAGCTCTATGTTGGGACAAAGACGAGAACATGTTATTATCCAAGTGCAGGAATGCACTTATGACTGCGCCACTGGGGGTGCCAGAAAGGGTGATGGAACCATGAAGGAGGACCAACAGGGAGGGCTCTCCCAGGCCAGTACTGAGCCATTGTGACTGAGGTTGGAATTGGCAGAGATGCAGTCACTCCCAAAGATCACACGAAGAACACACCGTCTCACTTCCTCCCACCATCCAACTTCCTACCAGTGCTTCCCCTTGGCTGAGCCTACAAAGCGGGTCTGAGATCTGTGGTTTGCAGGGGTCCAGGCCCTGTAATGCAGAGCAGCGTGTGTAAAGGCAAGAATGGTGCTGAGAATAAGCAGGAAATAACCAGCACACCATATTTTCTAAATGTAATATTCTTCCCAGAAATGTCCCCAGGGTCTTGCTCCCTCTCCCCTACAAACACACACTGACACAGTGATATATCCACAGTAGCAACCCAGTAGTGGATATTTGCAACTCTTTATCTGTCCAGTACCTTAAGTCTCTTCCTATCTGGGGGGAATCCCCCATTGTACAAAGATGAAGCTCTAGATCCTGGATTTCCCTGCTTACTTGCAGCTAGGAGGTGGCACATGACCAAGGCTCCACCAATCAGATACATCTGTTCCTAGACTTGGAATCAGGAGCTAGTGACCCAAAGAAGTAGCAACAGGGAGGTTCCATCCTGATGAGAAGTAGCCACATCCAGGTTCCAAGTGCTGTGGCAATTGTGTCCTTACCAAACTGGTCTGACATGTGACCTGGCCCTTAATCTCTAGCCTCCCAGGGATTTTGAAAACTATCCAAACCTTTCTAATAATTTCACTTTCTGCTTAAATCATCTAGAATAATTGTCTGTTGCTCACAACAAAGAACCTCTACTAGCATAAACTCCTTCCTTGTTTTGTGACCAGAGATCTTATATCTTCAGTCTAGCCCTTATGATTGCCCATGAGTTTTAGGGAGTTTCATCTCCTACAATATCCAAGAGAAATAGGCACTGGCAAATAAGTAGACTTTGGCCTAGAACCCTCTAGAAGTCCCGAGAGGCTGGGATGTGCTACCAGCCTCCAGCATCCATAGGTATGGAATCAAGCTATCCCCAGCCATGACCATGGAGAAGAGTCACTTGCCTTGAGGGTTAAGTTCAAAACCCAGTGGCAGAGACTGGATCATCTTCATACCTCTCCCACAAAGGTTCACCGCACCCAGGAAGCTCTTGACTTTGTTGCATCTCCTTCCCTCTCCCAAGCCAAGTTCTGTCAGAAGTTATTAGCCTCTACCCCCTTGCAATTTCAGAACCTCCAGCCTCCTTGCGATATCAGTCAGCAATTTCCAAGGACCTCTCTTACTCTAAATCATCATCTATTAAGTTAGTCATCTATTGCTGTGTAATAAATCACCTCAAAACTTAGTGGCTTAAAACGATAATAGTATTTATCACTTCCCATGGTTTCTGGAGGTCAGGCATTCAGTCAGGGCACAGTAGGAATGGCTTATCACTGCTCCACAATGTTTGAGGGTCTCAGCTAGAAAATCCAAATGCTGGAGGTTATACTCATCTGAGGGCTCATTCATTCAGATATCTGACAGTTGATGCTGGCTGCAGACCTAGCTGGGGTGACCAACTGAAACACCTCCCGCACATGGCTTCTCCATGGCTTGGGCTTCCTTACAACATGACAGCTGCGTTCCAAGAAACAGGTGGAAGCAATATTGCCTTCTAGCCTCAGAAGTCATGAGGCATCACTTCCCCCACATTCTGTTGGTCAAGCCAGTTACAAAGATCCACCCCATTTCAAGGGGAGGACACAAAGACCTCCACGCCTCAGTGG